GTAGAGAGGGTTAAACCAGGCTGCTCCTTGGAGGCAAGGATTCTGGGGCTTCGTCTGACATACTTTGGACATGGTGTAAGGAGAGACAGATCTTTAGAGAGGGACATCATGCTGGGTAGAGTAGAGGGACAGCGCAGGAGGGGAAGACTGTCTTTGAGGTGGATTGATTCAGTGACTCGGGTAATCGGGATGGGTGTGTCAGAGGCAGTGCGATTGGCACAGGATATAGAGCAGGGTTTAGGGCTGTTGTACATAGAGTCGTTATGAGTCGCAAACGACTCGACGGCATATAACAACAACGACATATCATACGGGAGGAGATTGCCCATTCTTCTCCGGAGCAGCTGGTGGATTTGACCCACATACCTTTGGGTTGGCAGCACAGTTCCTTACCACTAAGCCACCTGAGCTCCCCTTGGTCCAGGGTGGGTGCCTGGTACTCAGAGGCTGCTGCTTTGTTTTCTGCCCAGAGCCATTGAGGGGCTGTATAGGAAGCACTGCCTGGAACAGGGCAGGCAGCATCTGGAGCCCCAGGAGGGAGGCCTGGCTGAGGAGTTCTTGCTCACTGACAACAGTACCATGTGGCAGACGGTGAGGACAGGGCAGGGGTGGCCTCTGGGGTGAGGGGCGGGATGCTGGGTACAGAAGTTGCTGCTTGCTCAGAGCTGGACCAGGCTCTTTGAGGGTCGTGCAGGGAGGGGCCTGGTGGCCCCTGAATCACTTCCCTGGTTGTTGACTTCCCAGGTAGAAGAGCTGGGCTGCTTTGACCTGGAGGCTGAGGCCACGGTGGAGAACTTTAGAGCTGCAGTGCCAGGTCACCTTCTGGTTCCGGTGAGCATGACACCTGCTCAGTGCTGTCTGGGTGCTGGGCAGCAGGGCCCCCTCTACTCCTGTCTAGAGAGCTGTCCCTTCTGGTCATGAGCTTGGGGATGCTACCCTGCCCCTTTACGTGTTGGAGGTCGGGGAGGAGCTTGAGGTCTCCTGGCCATCCTTGTATCTCCTCATTCTCCTGGTCACAGTGTCAGGCCCTGTCCCACCCCTGCTCCGTGGTCCTCACCCAATGTCAGTACTCGTCCGGGCCCTGATCCAGGTATGTGGTCCCCACAGACTGCCCCTGGTGATCCCAATGCCAGCCAGCCCACCTTTCACCATGGCAACGGGCCCTACAATGATGTGGATGTCCCTGGCTGCTGGTTTTTCAAGCTGCCTCACAAGGTGGGTGTCCCCACTGTGCACACAGCCCCTGGCAGACAGGCTCTGGAGTGACTGGCGAGGAAGCTGCTCCTCCCCTGTGTAAACTGGCTGGTGGGCTTGGGGGTGGGACCACATTCCGTGTGTCTAGGCTCTTGCATGCTGGTGGACTATAGTGGGGTCAGGTGGGTTGTGTCGCTGGCTTATGTACCTGCCTCGTCTGTGTGTGACGGCACGGGCCTGGATCTGCCTCAGACGCCTCAAGAATCTGAGCACGTGGTGGGGGGCACCCCGGTACACAGGATGTGGGTCCAGCCAGCGGTCCTGCCTGCCCTCATTGCTTCTGTCCTCTCCAGGACGGGAACAGCTGCAACGTGGGCAGCCCTTTCGCTAAGGACTTCCTGCCCAAGATGGAGGACGGCACGCTGCAGGCTGGCCCAGGAGGTGCCAGCGGATCCCGCGCCTTAGAGATCAACAAAATGATTTCCTTCTGGAGGAACGCCCATAAGCGCATCAGGTGCGCTGGCCACCGCTGGAGGGCAGACAGGCTGGCCGCTAGACAGGCCTGCAGTTCTGGGACTTGCTCCCTTCACCTCCTGTCCTGCGGCCCGCAGCAGAGGGGCAGCCTGACTGCTGGGCCTGGTGCTACTTGACTTTGAGCAAGTTTCTCTCCCACTTGAGCTGCTTGTAGGACCTTGGTGGGCCTCCCCACACTCAGCTAGAGCGTGGCCTGTAGTCCTTTTGGGGTTGGACGTGTGTTCTGAGCACAAGAATGGCACACAAGGCAGCTCTGGGGTGGCTGCCTGTGCACTTTATGGCCAGGAGAGTGCTCTGACAGGCCACAGAGCCCGCACTGGGCGTGGGGGAGAGCAGTGCAGTGACTGGACCCCGTGGACACCAGGGGCAGAAGCTGCCTAGGAGGCTTGGGCTGTGCCTAGCTGCCTGGTGCTCATAGTTGCTGTGTTCTAGGGCGCCAGGCCTGGGCTGAGCCAGGGCCATGCTGAGTTATGCCAATGGGAAGTGGGCTGAGGTTGGGAGGACGGGCACCATAGCCTGCCGCTGGGCAGGCGAGGGCCTCGGTGGACTGGCGTGGAGTCTGCTCCCCACAGCTGCGCTGAACCTCAGTCTGTCTCCTTCCAGTTCTCAGATGGTGGTGTGGCTGCCCAGGTCAGCTCTGCCGCGTGCTGTGACCAGGTATGGGGACTGAGTGACTGGGCAGGGTGCTGGGGAGGGGAGAGGCACACTGAGTAGGGTGGGCCAGGGAGGGGCTGTGACCAGTGCTGATGAAATGCATCTCCCCACGTCCACAGGCACCCCTCCTTTGATGAGGAGGGCCTCTATGGGGCCATCCTGCCCCAGGTGGTGACTGCCGGCACCATCACCCGCCGAGCTGTGGAGCCCACGTGGCTCACCGCCAGTAATGCCCGGGTACGTGCCTGCCATGCTGGCCCTGCTCTTCCTCCTGTCTCTAGAAGGTGGATTCTGGGGCCTTTGGGGACCAAGTGAGGAGAGCGCGAAGGAACCCGAGGACTGGGCAGTCAGGTCCGAGTGCAGATCAAGTTTGCTACGTCCTCGGCAGTTGCTCCAGGCATTCAACCCCTCACTGTTCACTGAGGGGCATCACAGCACAGCTCTCTGGAGAAGAGAGGAGAAAAGAGCCCGGGGGTCCTGCTAAAGGGCCAGGTGGGGAGGAGGGCTCACTCTTATGTGTGGGGCTGCTGTGTGGTCACCCTGGGCCTACAGGACTTGGGAGCAGTACTGGGCGGCCATCCCTGGGGAGAGGCCCTGTTCTCTCTGTCAGCTCTTGCTCCAGGCTCAGCGAAGGCGTCTCCTCACTCAGGCTGTGACAAGGTCTCATCTTTTCCCCACAGCCTGACAGGGTAGGCAGTGAGTTGAAGGCCATGGTGCAGGCCCCGCCCGGCTATGTCCTTGTGGGCGCCGATGTGGACTCACAGGAGCTGTGGATCGCGTCTGTGCTTGGAGACGCCCACTTTGCCGGCATGCACGGTGAGCCAGGCCCTGGGAGGGCAAGGGGGCCAGGCAGCCTGATCCTTGGGGTCCAGGTGGGTGGACAGGAGGCCTGTGAGTCCCTTCTCACCCGAGCCTGTCTGCCCAGGCTGCACAGCCTTTGGGTGGATGACCCTGCAGGGCCGGAAGAGCAGGGGCACTGACCTGCACAGTAAGACGGCCTCCACGGTGGGCATCAGCCGCGAGCACGCCAAGGTCTTTAACTATGGCCGCATCTATGGGGCCGGGCAGCCCTTTGCTGAGCGCCTCCTAATGCAGTTCAACCACCGGCTCACGCAGCAGGAGGCTGCCGAGAAAGCCCAGCAGATGTATGCTGTCACCAAGGGCCTCCGCAGGTGAGGACCCGCCCCGCTCACCCTGACCTCCAGGCTGCAGGTCTGCGCTCCCGCTGCACTGTCCCCCAAACATGTAGGACCTAGCGCCAGGATGGTTTATCTCTGGCTATGTGTCATTTGTTGCTCAGTCAGCCCTAAACATGAGACCAAAGCAGTGTTTTTGGTGTATCATCAGTAGCTCTGGTCCAGGGGTGAAAACCTGGGTTTTGAACGGCTGCTTCTTGGTTCATGGCAAATGGGAGGCGCTCACTCTACCTGCTCCAAGCCTCCCATTCCAGGGCTTTTACCTGGGATCTCTTCTGTCTGCTGGTTGTCACACCAGTACATCCACGTTTTACAAACTGGAGTCTTCCAGTTTTTCTGTGTTGGCCCTGACTGGACCAGTTTGGACCAGTTCAGAACCCTGGCATAAATAGTAATTCAGGGACTGCAGACTCAAATGTATGCAGGTAAAGAGAGTGAGTGGCCCGGTGTCAGGCGGGAGGAGGTGGTGGGAATGTGTCATATGAAGCTACAACATTTAATCGGATTTTGATGTAGACGCTGGGCTTCCAGTTAGTAGCTCTGTCTGGAGCTTGGCCCCATGTGACAGGGAAAGGCCTCAGTCGGGCGGCCTGTGGAGCAGCCTCAGTGCACCCGAGGGGCTGGTGTGATCACGAGGGAGCAGGTACCTCTGTGTGAGTCCACACTTGATTCTCATCGTGGAACTCACGAACGACAGTGGTGAGCCAGCGTAGTCCCATGTGGATAGGAAGTGCTCTGATGTGGAATGACGTGGCCGGGTGTGGTGAGTCACAGGCCAGGGATGGAAGAGGAGGTTGTGAAGACCCTGAAGGCCCCCAGAGTTTGGATGTGTAGTAGGGGCTGGTCAGTCTTGGGTCTGAGAACTAGGACACAAGCTGGATGATGGGCCTCAGGCTGGAGGGAAGCTGTACACACCCCACCCCCTGCGCCTCCGTGTCCCTGGTTCCCTTTAAGGAGCAGCCCATTCTTCCCGGGGAGACTCTGGAGGGATGGTGGCCTTTTGAACCAGGTGCCTGCTGGGAAGTTGAGTGTGTGTGAGGCCTCTGGATAGAATGGCTCCTGTGCTGGAGTCTGTTCTAGTGCCAGCGTGTAGCCTGGGGTGGAGGGATCAGAGGCCTGAGTTCTTGTCTGGGCTTTGCCCTGTCTTTTGTGACCTCAGCTTGTCACTACAGCCTAGCTTGTTACTACAGCCTCTGTGCCTTTGTTCCTCCCCTGAGCCTGTGGGGAACAGGCAGGAACCTGGCGGTGGCTTCAGAAGTGGGGTGAGGTGGGAGAACACGTTCAGCCAGGGTTTGGCTCTCCCACAGGAGTGAGGTGCTGACACCATGATCCCCCTAGGTATCGGCTGTCGGATGAGGGCGAGTGGCTGCTGAGGGAGTTGGACCTGTCCGTGGATAGGACTGAGGAGGGCTGGGTTTCCCTGCAGGATCTGCGTAAGATCCAGAGAGCAGCTTCGAGGAAGTGAGACCCTCCTGTGTGTTAAGGGTGGTGGGGAGAGGAGGGTGAGAGCCTCCTGTGTGTTAGGGTGGAGGGAGCCCTGGGTGAGACCCTCCTGTGTGTTAGGGTGGAGGGGGTGGTGGGGGCTTGGACTGGCTCAGAAGTGCTGGGATACTTAGTTTTTGCTGAGATGAGAGGTTATCTGTCCAGGTCACGTGGGAAGAAGTGGAACGTGGTTGCAGAACGAGCGTGGATGGGGGGCACAGAGTCCGAGATGTTCAACAAGCTGGAGAGCATCGCCATGTCTGACACGCCGTGCACCCCAGTGCTGGGCTGCCGCATCAGCCGGGCTCTGGAGCCCTCAGCTGTCCGTGGGGAGGTGCGGTAGGGCCTGGGGAGGGTGGGGCCCCCAAGACTGGTGTGTGTGGATGGACCAGCCCCTGAGAAGCTAACTGGTGTGGCCTCCGCAGTTCATGACCAGCCGTGTGAACTGGGTGGTGCAGAGCTCGGCGGTGGACTACCTGCACCTCATGCTTGTGGCCATGAAGTGGCTGTTTGAGGAGTTTGCCATTGACGGGCGCTTCTGCATCAGCATCCACGACGAGGTCCGGTACCTGGTGCGGGAGGAGGACCGCTACCGCGCAGCCCTGGCCCTGCAGGTCACCAACCTCCTGACCAGGTACGGGGCCTTGGGCTTCGGGGGCCACACACTGACCCCTGGTTGGACTGACCCCATGGGCCCACCTGCACAGTTGTTAGCAGTGTTATAAAATCCACAGAATGGAATGTTTCATCTTTTCTGTCTTAATTTAAAAATGTAGTGATCCCAAAAGTCCCAAAAAAAAGACCTGCTCCCGACATTTTAAAAAAGATTTCTTGAGCTTGAAAATGATGTAGTCAGATTAGACCCCATGAGCTCTGTTCCAGAAAACAGATGTCAAACTGTGTTCTGAAAGAAAATGGCTTTCTTAGAAAACAAGGTTTTCTCAAGTCACTGGAAACTAAGATACTTTCTTCATGTCTTTAGTTGAAAAGTGTTATTCCAACAAAACACTGAGAGAACACAAGTGTGACAATATTTTTTTACATATGGAGTTGTATGTACTTTCTTATAATAAAACTTCTAGTTGTTGAGTTTGGACCTAGTGATGTTATAGCTCCATGCTGAGCTGCCACTCAGAACCAGTCTGGGAGAGCCATGGTCTGTCCTTACTGAATGGGTGATAAGGTCTTGTCTTCAGTACGTACTCTTCAGGGCCTTTCTAGTCATCTCTTGGGGTCTTGCTTAAGCCAACAAAGTCCTCATGCCACCCTCGGACCATGGCCCAATAATCAAAAGGAATTATATCAATAAATTGAGCACTATTGGAGGGAACGAGCATTTTGAGTCTGTATTTGCATTTCGGATCCTCAGTCTGTCAGTTGCACTTAACCGAGGGCAGAAATGTGGGTTGTCGGCTAGCTTGGCACATGAGGCTGAGGGCTCCTCATCTCTGGGGGTGGGGTGTTGGTCCACCGCTCGCAGCAGGGACACACCTGTGCAGGGCCTGGGTCTCTTTCAGGTGCATGTTTGCCTACAAGCTGGGTCTCAACGACCTGCCCCAGTCCGTCGCCTTTTTCAATGCTGTCGACATTGACCAGTGCCTCAGGAAGGAAGTGACCATGGATTGTAAGACCCCTTCCAACCCGACGGGGATGGAGAGGAGATACGGGATTCCCCAGGGTGAGTGTGAGACGTCTGTTCTCACTGTGTGCAGGATGGAAGGGAGCCAGGAGCCAGGCCCTGCCCCCCTGATAAATCATTCCTGCTGTATGCTGTATTCTAGGTTGTTTCAGTTTGTAAGGTGCCCTAAGCCCAGAATGAACTTGATGTGTAACTCACAAAGGAATGTTTCTTTCTGGAACAGTATTCATTGTAAAAGAAAACAGTTTCAAATTTCCCATGAGTACCAAGGGCACTCTGGTGGTAAGTTGTGGTGCTGCCAACCCAAAGGCGCCCAGTTTGAATCCACCAGCGGCTCTGCAGAATGATGGGCAATCCTTCCCAGGTGATTTACAGTCTCTGAAAACCCGGTTCTGACTCACTGGTGTACAGTCACCACCACCTGTCCTTTAATTAACCATAGCAGATTTATTTGAAAAGAAACTAAAATCAAAGTGCAATCTTAGATGAAAAGGAACTTGTATGACAGACATAAGATTTATTTTTTTTATACAAGAGAAAATGTAATATTATTGTTTCTGACAGTCCCTGCCCTTCCACCTTCCCATGAAGCGCTCTTGAGGCGGCACCCTGACCGATTTGCACTCTCTTCCAGGTGAAGCGCTGGACATTTACCAGATAATTGAACTCACCAAAGGTTCCTTGGAAAAACGAAGTCAGCCTGGACCTTAGCTGTGCCGGAGGCTCTGTATTTGCTCCTGTGGAGCTTCATCAGGGTGACGCAGGCTCCCAAACTCAGGCTTTCTGCTGTGCTTTCAGCAAAAGGGTGTGCCTCAAGCCAGCCGTTTTCAGAAGGGGACCTGCCAGGAACGAGTGACTGATGGTGCAGGCTGAGAACAGGGCACGCTGTGCTTGTGGCGCAGAAGCCCCACAGTTCACGTTAACTCAGGCATTTCCTTTCTTCCTTCTTTTCTTGGCTGGTTCTTCATTCTGTTCCCCGTGCTCTGATGCAATACCCTGGAAAGGGAGGGAAATGATGCACTAACCTGAGATACCTGCTGAGGCAGTGGAATAAACCCTCTTCTCACCAAAGCCCGTGCTTCCCTGTTTCCAGTCCGCCCAGTGAGCAGCACTCACTCTGCTCTTCTGGTCCTTTCACACCTGAGATTCAGGGGCCACGAGCATGGATGGAGGCCAAGCGAAAGCCTCAGGTGTTAGAATGCTCCACGGCCTCAGTGTGCGCCCAAGGCAGCCAGACAGTGGACGAGGCCAGGAGCAATGGCTTAGAGTGTAGTAACTCAAAGAATGCAGGTCCCAATGCTTTGAAGAGTCACACATTGAGGGTTTTATGTAAACTAATTTTGAAACAAGCATGGGCCACACATTTGCTGCTCCTGTCTAGGTAAATCTGAAGGGAACACCGTATGTGCTAGAGGAAAAGGAAGCCCTGGGCTCCGTTCAGAGGGGCCCAGGAACGGTGCCTGACCCTGAGGGGGGAGAACTGGAAGGGAGGAACCAGAGGGGACAGTGCTGAGTTAACTCCACCTGGCATAGACCGAAGGAAGCCTCAGCGGAGAGGCCCTACTCTGAAGAGGAGGAAGGTGGCTTTCTGAGTCAGATGCTGTGGTTGCTTGTATTCCAGTGGTTCAGAAGTCACAGGAAGATGACCTGCAGTAAACCCTGTTTGCCACTGCTCCCTACCTGGAAATGTCTACCAGCAAAGCATAGGCTTTTGTTAGGTGCTGCTGAGTCAACACCAACTCAAAGCCCCACAAACAAGGGCTCTGAACCCTGCCGTATCCTGTGCCATCCACCATCTCTGACATACTCTCGAGCCCACCATTAAAGTTATGCTGATCCATCTCATTGAGGGAAAAGCCTATCAGCCTGGGCTGTTTGGTGGGACTGGGAGCCCAAAGCGGACAGCCCTTTCCTGAGAGTCCCTTAGTTCTGTCCTTGCCTCACATGCTGTAACCTCTCCCTGCTGGTTCCCGCTCCTGCACTCCTACTCTGCAGCTGTCCGTGAGCCAGCAGGCCGCCTGGGGGCCCTGCTCTCGAGGCAGAAGCAGGTACTGACCTCTTCGTTCTCGTCCCCCTCCTCTTCCTTCTCTTGGAGAACCATGTTCAGGATGCTCCCTTTGATCTTGAAGTCCCGCGAGGTGCTGAGCTTCATGTGCTGCATCAGGTTCACCTGTGAAGAGCGTAACAGAACGCTTTCCTCCCGCAGGGCCACCACCCGCCTCGACGCTCAGCCCACAGAGCACGGACCCCACAGGCCATCCAGTTCCCAGCTGACGTGAGCACACCCACGTCACCCCTTTCCCTGTAGGACGTCTGGAATGACGCCATCAAGTCACAAAGGATTAGAAAAAGGTTCTGTTTCTCAGGCTCTCTTAATGGGTTATGTAGCAAAGAGTGTTTACCTTGGACTTCTTAGAAAGGTGGATGAGGAATTTTTCATATTGTTCAATGGCAAAGATAAGGTTAGGGATTGGCTTGGTTTCCCGAAGGACTCTGGCCTATAGGGCAAAAGAAAAGGCCTACATTTTATAAAAGTACAATATGCATGTTTGGTAACAGAGTTGAGACATTTCACACACTGTATGGTCACAACATTAGCATTGCTCCAATAAGCAGCCCCATTTACTGACACCCACAGGCCATGGGTGTCCATCACTAATCCACAGTCCCCTCGAGTCGCTTATTTGTAACATTCACATGAGTACAACTATCCAGTGAACCTGCATCAACCTTCTGTGACTGGCTCCTTGCTCATAGCACGTATGCCAGGCTCCCCAGGGCTGTATTTCACCATCACTGGCAGCTGCTCACCATGGCTGTAGCAACAGCACCAGTTTTCTCCTTTTTCTTCTCTCCTGCAGATTTCAGGCTCGTACTCTTCTTGTTCTAAAGAAAGAAAAATTAATTCTGAAAGATTTTCCTACAGAGCTAACAGTAGTAAGGATTTCCCGAAAGGGAGTTACTCGAGTGTGGGGCCAAGTGTGAACCACAGGATTTTTGGCAGTGGTGCTGACAGGACTGTGTGATGCTTTATCAGCCACAGGTACTTCTTAGTTAAGAGCTCTTTTTTATGGTGTGTAGGCTAGTGCTTGGGGCTCATGGGTAGGATCAACCAAGTTAATCTGGGTTAAGGAAATAATGGAGAACACAGGAGAGGCTACAAGGGGGCTGGCTCCTCGTCACGGTGGTAGTGGGAAGAAGCACTTTGCAATCAGCAGGTTGGCCCAAGAGCTCAGTGAGCGGGAAGCTGCTCTGCGGCTGCTGGGGCTGGAGGCACACACGCTGCCCTCAAGTGCAGAGCGGTTAGTGGGTTCAGGGAGAGATGAAAAGGGACATGAACACTTTCCACTTGAGATCATCAGAATAAACAGCTCCAGGAAAGAAAGAATAAAGGGAACCAAGAAGGGAGCCAAGATCTGAATCAGCAGACGGAGAACTCCAAGCTGGGAGCACACGAAGCTGCTCTGAGGCAGCAAGTGACCTCCGGCCACGGCAGCATCTTTATGGAGAGCACTGCCAGGCCTTGTCTCAGGAGCTGCTGGATAGGTCTGAACTACCAACGTTCATGTTAGCAGCCAGGTCCTTAACTGCTTTGCCAAAATGGCTCCTCAGAAACATGACCCAGGTTCAAGTCTCACCTCTTCTTCCTAAAGCTATGTGTTCCCAGACTCTTAAATTCAGAGCATCAGGCCCATGGTCCCTGAGAGAGAGTGGCTCACAGGGAGAGGAATTAACAAAGTGGCTTTAGGATGGAGAGGGCAGTAAACATGAGCTCAGGGCAGCGTTCACCCTGCTGTATTCTATAGAACAGCACTATGCCAAATAATGCTATTTTCTAGAAAAGTTCTAGAACAGGTTGGATTTCTAAGCATATTTAATATGCTAGCTAACAGGAGCTTTGCACTTTTAAGACAAGGAACTCCTTTTAGGTAGGCCCTCTCAGTCTATAAACATGGCCTTACAGGCATTAAGGGCGTCCACAGGCAGCTGCACAGCTAACCAAAGGCCGTGCCTCTGGGGTTTGAGGCTCCTCAGGAGAAAGATGGACAGTTTCATCCCAAGTGATTTACAGCCTCGGAAACGCGACAGACAATCAGTTAAGAGTCGCTTCTTATAGGCAATGAGTTAGAAGTATTAAGACTTGAAATAGTGTGAGCTGTGGTTGGGTTCCAAGCACTTAACATTTACGGTGCGCTGGCCAGGAATCTCTTCAGGTTGGAGACTGGGGTGGCCACACTCACCCCTGGAGGACAGTATGAAGTTAACGGTATGGCCTCATTCTGGGGAGGGGCTGTGGAGTCCCCCAGTCCCATTGTGGCCTTGGAGTGCCCTGGACTCCTTCCCCGCCATCTACTGTCAGTGCCTGGCATTCTCAGCCACGTTCCTTCACTCCCAAAAGGGGGCGGTGGGGGGAAATGGATCACACTAACAGCTGCATCCTTCCCCTGCCCTTAGGCTCCTCAGACTTTCACCTCCCTCTGAATTCCCTCCACAGATGGATGTTTGGCCAGAACGATACTACTTTATTCCTTCCAGGGGAGACAAGCTGACCAGGGCAGGGCAACCAGGTGTCTCCTGTGAGTCACTGCCTCAGACAACCTGCTGGCGGGTCTGCTATGGGTGGATTCCGACTAGAAGGCACTCAATGACATTGAACCCATAATGTAAGTCCTGTTCCAGACTGTCAACTGTGATATACAAAATGCCTATCTTGTTGATTGCTTTCGAGTTGAGCACTACTCATAGCAACCCTATGAACAAAAGGTCTGAAGCCCCCTACATTTATCAGTCTTATGGGGGAAAAAGATGACTTGGAAATAACAGAACTCAAAATTCAAATTTAGGAATAAAGGGATCCATCTTTATAGACAATAGGTTTGTATGAAAGAATAATACCCGGGTGGAAATTCTTGAGTGTGCAAAGTTGAGAAAGGCTGGGTGTATTGAATTGGATAAGAGGTAAGGAGGTGACCAGGAGTCACAGCTCGATGGGAGCAGGTGTGTCTGGTCAGACACAGAAAATGGATGGTGCATTCCTAACCCAGATCACAAAACGAGTCCGGAAAGAATCTCCTCTGTCAGCACACTACAGCAGGCCCCTGGGCGATGCCTTCGCACGGCGGGATGGACCTGATGCACAGCCTGAGGACATTAGCAGCAGAAGACACCACACCTCACCAACCGCTTTAATAACAGGCTCTAGAATCTTGGCCAAGATTGACAGTGGGTCAATGAATTCTGAGTCTTCAAAGATGAATTCTATCAGTAATTAAATGGCCTTGGAAGACAGAATCTTTCCTACCATGTGTGTGTCTTACCCAGTAGCCTCAACTTTGGGTGCTTCTGCTCGAGGGACACTGGACAAAGCCTGGAGACATTTTTGGTTATCCCATCTAGAGGGCTGCCACTGCTGGTGGGCAGGGGTCATGTGTGATTCTAAATGTCCCACAATGCGCTGGATAAACCCCAAAACGAAATTCCCTCTCCTTGCCGCTGAGATGGAACCACTCAAAGCTGGCCTCCTGCAGGTTTTCCAAGACAGTGATGGCACGGGAGGAGATATCCCATCTTTCTCATGTGGAGCAGCTGGTGGATTCAAACTGTTAGAGAGGTGCCACCTTCAGTTAGCAGCACAAGTCCCTTCAGACCCAAACCCCACAAAACCCCAAGCTGTTGTCATTGTTAGGTACTGTCGAGTTGTGTGACTCAAAGTGACCCTATGAACAAAAGATCTGAACCCTGACCTACTGTGTGCCACCTCATACCTCCTGACACATTAGAGCCCACTGCAGTCACCATGTCAATCCACCTAGTCCAGGGTCCTCCTCTCCTTTGTCGACTCTCCCCTCTTCCCAGCATCATGTCCCTCTCCGAGGAGCAGCCCCTCCTAGCAACATGTCTTGAAGTATGTGAGGTGAAGCCTCATCATTCTTGCCTCCAAAGAGCACGATGGCTGCACCCTCTACAAGACATATCTTCGTTCTCTTGGTGTCCATGGGATGTTCAGTGCTTTACTCCAACACCACAGCTCAAAGGCATCAATTCTTCTGTCATCCTTATTCATTGCCCGGCTCCCATATAGCACAGGAACCCCAAATTACCTGGGCCAAAATGCCTGCACTTTGAGAAAATGTGACTTAAACCCTGGAGGAGCCCATCACTGTATTAACAAATTCATTTAGAAGCACAGGGTTCTGAATCACTGAAAGCACTGCTGCTCTCCACTCAGCACTTGCCGTCTGACCCCAGCCTTTGCTGCTTAGTGCCACTCCACTCAATCACAAGGGATGCCCGGGTGCATGCATATGCAGAAACAAATCCAAGTTCTGAGCCCAAGAATGCCATTCTTTTCCTACTCTAAAGGCAAGCACATCAAGTGCTTTCTCTCTCCACATGGAAGGTTTTCCTTTGTATGCAAAGGTTTCCTTCCTTGCTGCAAGGCTTTTTTAGGCCCTGGCTTGGTCTCTCTTGGACACCTCTGGCTAAGGTCAAGTTGGCTACCAGGGTGAACCTGACAGCTGCTCAGCTCAGATGACCAAGCAGTCCCCTGGGAGCACACGGAGGCCTTTCCCACTTGAGGATCTATTTTGGTATTGACTTTGGATCACTCACCTGTATGTAAGAAATGAAAGAATAGCACAGGGGCGTCAGATGGGAACCAGAAAGCTTCACCTGCAGCAAAGAAGGAAGCCAGTGTAAGAGCAAGACCAAACCAACCCCCTGCCTTTTTCTCAACACACTTTCAACTCACAACATGCTCCACTTACCAGCTTTTCCATATTTTTTGGAATTCCTCTGGAGCTGCAACACACCTGGAGATACTAGAGACAAAAAATATCTCAGATTTAGCAGAGCAGCCTACATGAAAGTCTCACGAAGCCACAGCCCTTCAGCGAGTGTGTGGCACCTAAAACACTGCTGATGCAGGGGGACAAGAAACAAGCTACTATAATTCACAAAGTCACACGACAGCTCTCAGATGACAGCCAGGAAGGGTTTGTTCACAAAGTCGGACGACAGCTCTCAGACGACAGCCAGGAAGGGTTTGTTTACAAAGTTAGGATGACACAGTTTCAGACAGCAGGCCAGGAAAGGTTTGTTTTTGACTTGCTCAGCTCAACGCTTTAAAAGATCCTCAGGCTGACAGTTCCCACATCTAGTCTACAGTTTGCTGTTTTTCCTTTTGAAAATGTCAGTAAGGAGAAGAGGTGCTCCGTATTCTCACCACAGACGCTCGGCAGGCACGTCGCGCCACATGTCAGCACCAGCCAGTTCAGTTCTGTCTGGATACACTGCGGGGTACGCTATGTCCTGCTTGGGTTGTCTATCCCTTCCCAGTGTTTCACTAACAAGTTTACTGCAAGAATCGGAGCCCTGACACCTGGTTCCTATCCTTCTGAGTGTCTCAGAGGATCAAAGGCTTACAAGTCCAAGGGAGGCTCAGTAAAGGGAAGAGCAGGCTTTCCTGTTACTTAAAAAAAGATTCTTTTCATTGTTGCACATTTTCTTCCCCCTCTCCCCATCTCCTGGCCTCACCTCACAACGTACCCTTTGTTCCAGATTGCTGATGCACATATAATGTCTATATTCCTTTCTGACAGTTCTCCTCATCTGCTCTAATGCAGTGTTCATCTATCCACTCTTCCACCATTCTCTCCCCAGCACCGTCATGTCTGTCCTATTTTATAACAGCGGTGTTACGTAGTGTTTGTCCTTCCGTGACTGAGATACTTCACTCAGCATAATGTCCTCCAGGCTCCCCCATGTTGTATATCTGTTTGAATCGTGGCTCTGGGTTCTTTACAGTATACTCCCAGTGAATGGTATTTCTTTTTTTCCTTTTATAAAATTCTGTAATGTAAGCAGGAGTGTGTGGAGAGTCACGGACGATTCGCCATTACAAGATGGCGCCGACTTCCTGCCTCACGATTCGCCATTACAAGATGAATGGTATTTGTAAATCCAACTTTTTTTAAAAAGCACCAGACCACCTTCCATAGTGGCTGTACCATTTTACATTCCCACCAGCCTTGAGTAAGTGTTTTAATTTCTCCACAACTTTGCCAGCATTTGCTGTTTGCTGCCCTGTTGAACTTTGCTATTGTTGCTGGGGCGAAGTGATATCGCACGGCTGTTGTGATTATTATTACTTCCTTTCTACCTTAGTACTGATCTAACAACACCTGAGTGATACAAACAGCCAATGTGCTAAGCTATAAATGAAAGGCTGGAGTTTAAGTCCCCTTTGACACACCCTGTACCAAAGACCTGGTGATTTACATCTGGAAACTGAGTCACTGACCAGACTTTGGTGCCCAACTCTATACCCATGCATCAGGCTGCACTGCTGCCAGGAGTCAGAACGGATGGCAGCTAGTTTTGTTTTTGGAATGAAAAGGAATAAAAATCTTTTCAGTGCCAACACTGTTTAGAATGGATCTATTTTTGTTTGTGTAATAAGGAATTGGAATTTATTCTACAGCTATCGTGCAGAAAAGCCTTAGAATGTGAAAGATGTTTTCACTCTTAATTAATCAGATGCTGCTATGCACAACAGCAGCATGCTGAAGAGGGAGCTCTGGTAGTTTAGTGGTAAGAAGCTGTGCTGCAATCCCAGAGGCATGTTGCTCGAATCCACCAGCTGCTCCACAGGAGAAGGACGGGAAGTCTCCTCATGTGCATTTACTGACTGAAAACCTGCTGAAGGGTCAGCTACAGGTCAGTTCCGACTCAACAACACACACCACCACCAACAGCAATGCTGAAGAAAGGAGCCCTGCTAGCATAGTGGTAAGAAGCTGTGCTGCGATACCAAAGGCATGCAGCTCAAATCCACCACCACCAGCTGTTCTGAGGGAGAAGGATGGGCAGTCTCCTCCTGTACGGTTTACTGCCTAAGAAAACCCGCTGGAGGGTCAGCTATTAGTCGGTTCCAGCTTGACGATACACAATGTACATGCTAAGGAAATAAAGGTCTTTATAAGCAGATTTAGAAGACGCCATAAACTGTCATTCCCTGGCCTGTGGAGGACTCTGCCACCTACTGACTAAACCAGAATCAGACTATGACTTGCAAAGATACAAGGAGCACATTCAGGGGGATTGCAATCAGTGGGCGGCTGTCCCGGCCTCGTCTTCTGGCTGGCCGACAGCCTGGACAGCTCGGTGGTGGTGGACCCGACCACGGCGGAGATACTCACATACTTGACAAGTGCCGTAAGTGTGGTGTACATTCTGCACAGGCCCTTCAGCAAGGTGTCCACACAGCTGCCGGATGGCAGCGCCGTCTGCACCAGCTCGTGGAAAAACGTAAGCAGAGTTCCCAGCTGAATGATGATGGCTTTCTCAATGGACTGACTTGATGAGGTTGCCTGAGACGAGGCATCTTCTGAATGGAAACAAAATTAGCACATTCAAACCCAATCAAGAAACTTTATTTTCCAGTTAAGAGTGAAGGAAATTGAACATCAACTAAATACGATTTAGTAGGAAACACACACGAGTGCATACTTCCTCGTGTAGAAAGACTTGCCCTTAGCCACACCCCATTTCTTGCAACATCTCGGAAATCTAGCTCAGGTACCCACGTTCATGCAGGATTCTCATGTGGATTTAGGGTAATCCTGCTCTCATCACACTGCTTGGCACCTGACCCTAAATCACTTTACCTGATACGATTTCTTGCCTCACTTGTCCCTTAATCTTGGTGATTAGCCAGTCTACTTCCTCCAGGACCTTCTCAGCCTGACTCAGAACGAGCAGCTGTCAAAGAGAAGAACGTTTGCGTTGGCTCACTGCACATAGCTGCAGGGGTAACTCAGTCCATCACCAGCGCTGCTGTCATTTACTCTGCACTTACACAGACAGTGGGGGCTGCTGTCCTCAAATTCACCATTGCAAAGTGATCTGTTTTCTCCACTTCTACGTCCTGGGAAGGGAAAGAGTGGTTAGGCCTGACAGCATCAAAGCAGTTCTCCCGAGCTCCTCCTCCGGGCGTATGTGGTACTGAAGGCTCCCAGGAGTACCTGGTCTATGTCTCCAAGCTGCCCGTGGATGTCCTGGGACAAGTCCCGCAGTAGGGAGACAGGACTTTTATACAAAACGTGGAGGCTGAAGAGCAAGTTCATCAAGCCCTTACAAAATGCAGCATCCTCTAGAAAGAGAAAGGGAAGGTAAGAAGTGTTAACAGCCACCCAGTCAGGTCCTACGGTGGGAGGCAGAAGGGCGCTAACTAGAAGCAGTGCTTTGGGGTCCCAGGCACAACGTGCCATTATCAACACAGCCCAGCCAAGACGGTACATTTTTATCCATGTAGTAACTCCAAGAACGCAAACAGTTCTCATTATTAGTAACAATCATTCCGAGAAAAAAATTAAAATTCTACTAGCATCCTGTTACCCCCTCCTGCTTCACTCACCCCACCAAGGGAGATAGTTACCTGAATACAGCCCGCTTAGTTCTGTGTGATTCTGAACTATCTAAATGGAATCACAGAGCAAGGATGTGGTGCATATCATGCACTGCTCGTCATTATGGTTATGTGTCTCCCCGACTCGTCACAGGCAGGCATAACTTGTATATTCCCACCAATATCTACCACCCACTGTGTGGTTAGCTCTCCTTCCTAGTTCTGATGAGTATCTGGAGCCCCTCACCCAGTCTGTTTTACTATTAAAATAGTGCTGCTACTTTATACGTGCCCATCTATTTGGGCTGGGATTATGCTGCTGGATTAAAGGCACACGTTTAGTTAGGTATTGCCACACGATTCCTAGTGGGGTTATAACAGTTTACACCACAACAAGAGGTGAATGAGCGATTCAGCTGAAACACTCTGCGTTCCTGCTAACATACAGGTAACTGGACACCTTTTTTATTCATTTTGGTCCTTCTGGTGAATGTTTAAGCTATTCAGTGATGAGGATTTTAAGTGAAGTCTAAAAGGAAGTATAGTAGAAGCCTTACCCAAGCTGTTTTCCTTGCAAATCTTTGATGTCCAGGATAACATCTGTAAAAACTGAAGTGAAGACCATTCAGATAGAGAAGAAACATGTCAAAAGATAGATCTAGTGCTGTCAGAATAGGAGACGCTACATCTTTACAAGTCTGAGCAATCGCCTTCTAAAACGTGTTCCTGGATCTATAGTGGTGACTGTGAACAGCATCAAAATGAGTCCAAAGTTATGTGAAGAATTGTATGACTTAATCCTCAGTCTTTCTGCCCTCACTGTGGGCAAAGGGCCTGTGGTCTGCGTGCTCACCCCAGAGCTTCCTCTGCCCCATCACCAAAGCCTAGGCCAAAGGTCTATGCTGCTTGTTCCCTGCTCACATGCCACATGCAAGGACAGAAGGCTAACAGATCCTGGCCAGAGAGGCAGCAGAAGTAGCTGCTATTGGGCGTCAATAAGTCAAAGAAAAGGGAAAAAAGAAAGGCAGAAACGAAAGAATTTTGAAGCAGGGTCAATTTCCCATCTCAGCAGTTCTTTGGAATAAGTTTTTGGCAAACAAATTTACTGAAGTGCAGTGACACTTAAATGCAAAATGACATGAGATTAACTTCTGATCTGTTGGGGGGAAAGGTAAATAAGAGACTGAAAACTCTCAATGAGATGACAGAAAATATCTCTAGGATACTGTGTTAAATGAAATAAGCAAGCTACAGGATAATAAGTTTACGTGAAAAGAGGGACAAAAATAAGAGTCTGTATATTTATTTACACAGGAATAAAAAAATTTCTGAAATATACCAAAGAAATGAAAAAAGTTTACTTATTTGGGGAAGAGGAACCGAGAAGATGAAGAACATGGACAGGAGGGAGACCATTTGTACTAGAATTCTTTTTATAATTTGTGTTTCATATTATAACATTATTATTCATTCAAAATGAAATTAATAAAATCTTAAAGATTTTGGGAAGACTAAAAAAGCTCAAACCCAAAGCTGTCCAGTCAGAATCGACTCATGGCTGACCCATGAGCAGGCTGTCAGAGGCTGTCCTGGAAGAAGACTGCTCACCATCCTCCTACAAAGGGGCTGGGGGAGCTGCACCTCACCTTTGGGTTGGCAACACAACTACCCTCCCACTAGACCTCAGAGCTCACTTTCTCCCACAGGCTCTGAAGGTTTTCTAGCTTTTCTGAGTCCTTTTCTTCTCCCCTCATATGTCCCCATCCTCTTGTGCTGTCTGTGTTTTTTCTAAGTCTTTTGTTCCCTGCAGCAAAAGTAGTAGTATGAAAGAATGAAGTGGAAAGTAAGTGGAAATGAGTGTTATGAAATAAAGAAAAATTTTTGGGGGCAACTTGGAACGAGGACAATAGGAAAACAAGCCTGCTTCTGAGCAGTCCTCAGCAGCATCTCTCAAAGACTAGCTCTTCCCAAGACAAGGCACACACGCAGCCACAGACCAGGACGGAGATCCAGGAGGAGCAGACAGTTCCCAGCTTCCAGGGATGCCTTGACATTCTCTGGTAAATGACTCCTGAACAAAAGAGACCTACAAACTGTGGCCCTTCTCTTATTCTTGCCCTCATGTGGGTGCCCAACTCTACACACGTGTGCACACCTACACCCATGCACACATCACCTATCCTGGCAGAGTTGTTTCTGCTCTGGAACTGGAGTCACACTTTGCAGATTCATCAGTCTCGGTACCAGATAATCTTGCTTAGAGAGCCAACTACTGAATGTGCCAGCTGCCTTCAGCATTAACACTGAATTTTTCCCTTAGAAAAGGAGAGGAAGCACCAAAAGTGGCGATGAACGGATTACAAAGAATGAAGGCAGCAGATAAACTACAGAGTTTTCTTCTCTAGTATTTACAGTTTACCCTTGACAGTGGCCAAACACAAGCAGTGGATTCTTACCCTTAATAGCGGTATGTATTTGCATGACATAGTACAAACAGTATGTAAGGAAAAACTGTTATCTTCTAGGTTTTATTCTAACTCAGGAAGATAATGAAATCTACTACTTTAAATAAGCCATCCTTCAAGGAAACATTTAGAGGCATCCTCTTAAGGGCTAGTAAACCTTGCCTTTGAATGTCAACAGGCTGGAATGAGCGCGGCCAGTACCTGAGGGGACGAGGGCTCCAGGAGTCTGGACAAGCTGGAGAGAACATTGACCAGGAGGAGGGCTTCTCTGCTATTGAAGTCTTCTTCTTGGCTGCTAAGTAAATTTAGCAAGGACCTCTGATGAAAAAAGTTTACACAAAACCATTAGCAGACACAGTCCTATCAACAAGAGATTACTACAGCAAAGGCAAAAAAAATTCAAAACTGCCAAAATGCTAAGAGGAGAGCCCCTGTAAATGAATCTGGCAGCAGCAGTGTTTTTAGCTTATTTTAGATTTGAGAAGTCACTTGAGACAATTACGGACTCTTACTCCCTCTGACATGCACACCCCGAACACCCAGGACTGCCTGCATGCTTCCCTGACTTGTCTCATCACTAAAACATTTTATTATTTTATGATCTCTCCCCACTACAGCACAAGCTTCACAAGGGTGGGGACATATGTCTCCTTTGCTCCCCGCGAAACCTCCAGTATCTATAACAGTTCCTGGTACAAAGTAGGATCTTTACAAGTATTTCTTAGAGAAAGTCCCTATGACAGAGGCTGCTGTTTTGACCAGTACTGGTTAGAAACCGGCAGGCTTCACAGTTCATTCAGTCTTTTAAGCAATCTAAACGACAAAATCAGGTAACACTGTGGACAACAAAAACAAAGACAAACACTATGGAGTCCTGACTCTGTGTGAACTGAGGTCCCGGAGGCTGGGGTGGCTCAGTACAGACCCTCGCCTCAAATCCTCTGGTATGTATTCTTTTTTATTCTATGAGCTATGTCCTGTTGCTCAGGTGATGACCCAGAAAAAAAAGCCTCCTGTCCTACCTTGCTCACCATCTGCCTGTCTACCAGCTGCCTCTGTCGACAGTGACTGTGTGGAGCCTCAGGCAAGGGCTGAGCTTCCCAAGCAGCCTCACCTGGAACTGGCGGATCTGGAAGGCCGCTCGCTGAGTGACCGCAACCTCAGCCTCTTCTCCCTCGTCATCTGGGATGTCTAGGAAAAGAACAGACACTACTTGTTTTTATGCACTCACGCTTACTTGGCTTTTTAATATAGCTGAAGTTCTACAAAACCTTACTTGGAGGCAGATTTAAATGACTTTGTAAAGCTCTGCAATTTTTTAATACTATGTTTCATTTTCTCCAGTCATTATTTATGGTTGAATAGAATTTGTGACTGAATATATAGCCATTTCCCCATCACTGATTATGGTAAAATATGATCCAGACTGATTCCAAATCCACTAGATGTCACTACTTTGTAACACTGGGAGAGTTCTTGGGTGTCCTCTGGTACGTGAGCAATTAGAACAAGGCAGCTAGATAAAAGAGTAGCCCCGAAGAAGTCAATTTATCAGTTTCTGCATGCTCACCCAGAGCCCTGAGGAACTGTTGAATCCGGGGCTGATAGAACTGCTGCACGACCTCCAGGATCTTCTGCAAACCCTCCAAGCACAGCAGCGAGATGCTCTTTCCTTTTTCCTTTTTCCCCGATTCCTCCACTGAAGTAGGAATTGACGTGTATCTCCACAGCAAGACTCTAAGCAAGGACAGCAGGGATTTTATTTTTAAAGCCAGGTTCACAAAGGTATCATTTTTAAAACTGTCTCTTCTTCCCTCTGCTCCTTTTTATTTCTACACATTTGGCGTTGTCTCTAGGAAGGTGTACCACTAACCCAAATGCCATAACTCTCTGGCAACTTGAAGTCACCAGCAGCTTCAAGGGAGAAAAGAGATGAACCATCTCCCGTGGGACTTAGAGCCTCGAAAATCCGGCAGAGGGTCAGCTAAGAGTCCGTCCCGACTTGACGGCAATGAGGTGAGTTGCTGAGACCCAGCACATAAATGGAATCATCTGTCCTTCTGTGTCTGCCTTATTTCACTTCATGTGTTTTTAAGGCTTACCTACTTGCTAGTCTCTATCAGAACTCCATTTCTGTTCCTGGCTGAAGAACATTCTATGGCACTTAAGCACCATTTCATTTATCCAGTCAGCTGTTGATAAGACACATGGGTTGCTTCCCATCATCTGGCTAAAGTAAACAATGCTGCTATGGGCAACGGAACACAGCATGCTTCAGTCCCCGAGTTCACGTTCTGACGGTTAATTCTATCTTTTGACGCACACTCATTCATTCACTAGTATGGAGTCAGATACAAGTCACGATGATTCCCTACTGGACTTCCAAGGCTGTAAATTGTACTAGGAGGAGACAGCCTATGTTCCCTGTTGGAGCCAGTGATGGATTTGAACCATAAGACACGCACAGCTGCTGGGTTAGCAGTGGAACGCGCTGTGGACTGAGCTCCCCTTCTGAGGAACCTCCACATTGTTTTCCACTGCAGAGTATAAGAAAAGTCAGTATTTTACCTTTTTTTCCCCCTTGTTATATGTCATCGAATTGGATCTCTGATTGGCACAGGAGGAGACTGCCCCTTCCTTCTGCAGCAGAGTATCTGGAAGTATTTTACCTTTAAATGAGGGGTTAACTACAGGGTTTTTGTAGATTGCCTTTACTGGATTGAGAAAGCAATCTTTAATCCTGGTTTGTTAGGGTCCTCATACAGGAGGTCCAATCATCTGTCACCAGGTTGTGGATCTGAGTGTCAGCCATTCAGACAGCTAATAATAAACTGGCATTTTTTTTTTAATTCTAAAAAATTTTTTGTCTTGCTGGAATTTTTTGTATCTGTGGCCACGTCAAATTGTTCTATAGTTTTCTTGTAACATCTCTGTCTAGGTTTGGTATTAAAATAATGCTAGACTCCTAAAATGAGCTGATAGCTATTTCTTCTTCTTCTACTTTCTGTAAGAGATTATAGGGAATTATATTACTTCTTCCTTAAAATGTTTGGTAGAGCCCAACATAAATAATCTTCCAAGCATCTTGAAAAATCTACAACAAGGAGAGGATAAAATAGATGAACGGGACCTTCTAAGAATCAAATCCCTATGCACATCCAAAAACTTCTCCAACAGGGTTAAAAGGGAAACCACAAACTGGGCAAAAAAATATTTGGTAATGACATGTCTGATATGGGACTTATATCTAGAATTTATAAAATACTCAAGCACCACAAGATAAAGCTAAACAATCCAATTGAAAAATGGGCACAGAATATGAACAGACACTTCACCAAAGAAGACATTCAGATGGCAAACAAACACATGAAGAAACGCTCAAAATCTCTAGCTCTAAAAGATATGCAAATCAAAACAACTATGAGATATCATCTCACCCCAGTAAGAATAGCAAAATTTAACAGAACAGTAAGCAACAAATGCTGGGGAGGTTGTGGAGAAACTGGAACCCTTAATCATTGTTGGTGGGAGTATAAAATGGAACAATCACTGTGGAAGGCAGTATGGCACTTTCTCAAAAAGTTGCAAATAGAAATACCATTTGACCCAGCAATTCCACTACTAAGAATATGCCCTAAAGAAACCATAATTACCACCAAGCAGATATATGCACACCCTTGTTTAGTGCAGCTTTGTTAGCAATAGCAAAGACTTGGAAATAACCCAAGTGCCCATCAACAAACAAATGGATAGAGAAGCTATGGTTTATTCACACAATGGAATACTCAGGCTGCATTGAAAAACAAGGAACTCATGAAATATTATACAAAATGGGTGACCCTGGAGGACATTATGCTGAGTGAAATAGCTCAGTCACAAAAGGACAAATACTACATAGTGCCACTGCTGTAAAACAGGAATGACATGGGGGTTGGGGAGAGACTGAGAAAGATGAGATAAATTATGTATACTGCATTGAAACAGATGAGGGAGAAAACTGTTTAAAAGGGATATGTGATTAGGTATTGTCATGACAGGAGTCCATAACGAAGGCTGCACAGTGGAGTGGACTTGGGGGGAAGGATTGTATAACAATGAAAGAATTTTACTTTTCAAAAAGAGTGAATTGGGGAGGAGGCTGGGCAGGGAAAAAAGTGCAACAATGAATGAATGGGAATCCAAAGTCTCTGTAAACTTTCATTAAAATGAATAATAAAAATAAGAAAGTTTGGTAGAATTCACCAGTAAAGATACCAAAGTTTAGCATTTCCTTTGAGGAACCATAAACTCAATTTCTTTACCAGAAAAAGATAACTCAAGTTACCTATTCCTTCTTGTTGAGCAAGTTTAAGAGAAACTATCATTCAAGAAATAGCCACTTTCAAAATTTACTGCATCACGGAGCTCTGGTGGCCTGGTGGCAAGAAGGTGCACTGCAATCCTAGAGGTATGCAGTTCGAATCCACCAGATGCTCTGCCGGAGGAGGGGCAATCACCTCCTGTACCAGTGAGATCCAATTTGACGTTACACACACACACACACACACACACACACACACTAAAATAAGATGAAAAAAAGAAAAAAAATTATTGCATCAAGTTTTCATGTTATAGTATCAATTTTTAAATACCTGTAGGAACAATAGCAGTTATCTCTTCTCCATTCTGTTACTTGTAATTTATGTCTTGTTTTCATGATCAGCTAAGATTTTATTTATTGATCTTTTTAAGTAATCAGCTTTTAGTCTTATAGTTTCTATTTTTAAAAAAATGTTATTGTTCTCTGCTTTTTATAATTATATATCTTTTTACTTTAATTTATTCTTCTTAGTTTCTTAAGGTTTGGCAACTTAGATAAAATATTTAACATACTGAGTTTTTTTTTAACAGTTCTCTCCCTCATCTGTTTCAAGGCAGTATACATTATTTATCCCCATCTTTCTCAGTCTTCTCCCATCCCCGAGGTCAGTCCTGTTTCACAACAGGGCACTATGCAGCATCTGTCCTTTTGTGACTGAGATATTTCACTCAGCATAATGTCCTCCACGGTCACCCATTTTGAATAATATTGCATGAGTTCCTTGTTTTTCAATGCAGCATAGTATTCCATTGTGTGAATATACCATAGCTTCTCTATCCATTCGTTTGTTGACGGGCAGGCACTTAGGTTGTTTCCAACTCCTTGCTATTGTGAACAAAGCCGTGATAAACATGGGTGTGCATTAACATATTGTTTTGAAAATAAGCATAAATGCTGTCCATTTCTGTAGTTTTTTTTTTACCTGAACAATGGTTTCGTTTGATTGTACAAAGTTGATTTTCATTTTTATTCTGTTCAAGATATTTCTAATTTCCCCTGTGACTGTTCTGACCAATGGATGATTTAAAAGGGTCCTGCTTAATTTAAGATTATTTGGGAATTTTACACTTTGTTTTGTTAAATTCTATTATGATCAGAGAACATACTGACTTACAGTTTTTACATTTGTTGAGTTTGTTTTCTGGCCCAAAATATGGTTAACTTGGTGAATGTACCATGGGTGTTTGATAGGAATACTTAGCTTGACAATTTTTGTTGGAGTGCTCTAGAAAGGCTAATGAAGTGAAGCTGAATTACTCAGGACTTCCATCTCCTCCTCTACTTCCTGTCTACTAGCTTCCCTGGTAGTGGCCTGGAAAAGTGCTAGGCCGCTCAGTGAAATGCCAACAGGACCTTCCCTGTGGGAGAAAAGCCTGGAGACCTCCTCCTCTAAAGACCACCCCGGTGCCACTGGGGTAATTCTGACTTCTAGGGGTATCACAGGGTTTACAATGCTGTAAATCTTTACAGAAGCAGGCTGTCATAGCGTTCTCCCCAAAAGGAGCTGGGACGTTCAAACCACTGACCTTCTGGTTCACAGAACTGTGTTTAACCACTTGTCATTAGGGCTCCAAACCGTAAAGACTACAGCCAGACGGGGGCAGCTCTATTCTATCACACAGGGAATGCACAGACATCTACTCTACCCATCAGAAGAAATGATGCCTTTGAGCTGTGGTGCTGGAGAAGAACACGGAACATCCCATGGAATGCCAAACAGATGTCTTGGAAAAAGTGCAGCCAGGGTGCTCTTTGGAGGCAAGGATAGCAAAGCTTTATTTTTCATACACTGGGCATGTTGCTAGGCAAGCTTATTCCTTGGATTGGGACATCATTCTTGGAAGGGGGGGCAGTGAAAGGAAGACCCTCAACCAGATGGACTGACACAGTGACCAGAGCCATGGATGCAAGTGCATCAGAGATTGTCAGAATGGCACACATGGTTCAGATCTGCTGTTCACAGGGTTGCTCGATTCGACATGTTCATAGGGTCACCATGAGTTGTACTCTATGTGACAGCACCTAACAACAACACCACGCATCAGAACTGACTCAAAGGCAGCACCCTAGTGGTGCAGTCCTTAGCATATTACACTGCTAATCAGATTTGACTCAAGGGAATACAACAAATTCTGTTGATTACTGAGAAAGGATTACTGTCTCCAGTGAAAACTGTGACTAGTTTCTGCTTCATTTTGATCTGTTAGGGGCATACACAGAATTGTTACATCTATTTGAATAATGTAATTATTCATTAATATACTTCCCCAACCCCACCTCTTCTCCTGAGGAAGCCACAGGAAGTGGAGTAATCTTCAGAGGGTCGGAATGACTTACCGTGTCACGTCACAGAGACTCTGAAAGACTTTGTCTGGGTTCAGGCCATCGGGGCCACTCACGTGCCCCGTTTCTTTAAGTTGCTGGACCTTCTGCAGAGCCACGCTCACCGCGTAACGCATGAATTCATTGCTGGACCTCAGAACAGACAGGCTCTCTTCATGGCTTTGGGTACTATCCCTAAAGAGAAAATCCAAAGAAAATAAAACCAAAACCAAAATAGTGTGTGCTAGAAAATTTTTAAAAAAAATTTCTTTTTATCTGAATAAAAACTTAAAAAGCAAATTAGTTTTTCATTTATCCATTCCTACACATTTTGTTTTATAACATTAATGAAATATTCACAATGTGATTGTACTTTTCCCACTTCCACTGTAATTTTCATTTCCATTAATCCTTTTATTCTACCCCTATCTTCAAGGCCTTATTCTTAGGAAATACTGCTCTTCTGACCTTATACAGAATTAGGCTTTTTAACAACTTCAGTCTCTAACAGTCTCTGCAGCTTCCACAATGTCCCTCTAGCCTTATCACTGTCCCTCCAGCCCTCCCACTGTCCCTCCTGACTTCACCAGTGTTCCTTCAGCCCTAGCCATACCAGTGTTCCTCTAGCCCACACCAGTGTTCCTTCACAGCAGTCCTTTGTAATTAAAAACCTCAGCGGTTTCATTTTCTCCTCCCCAACTCTACCTTTGGAGCTTAATAAAAATGTCTTTTGGGTTTTGTTCCTTTAATTTAGACTTTTTCTTTCCCCCTTTTTCTGTTAATGTATTCATGCTCATCCATTACTGCTGATAACAGCTCACAGCCTCTTACAGGACAGAGTAGAGCTGCCCTGTAGGGTTTAGAAGGTTGTAAATCCTTTTGGAAGGAAATGACTTCATCTTAATCTTACGGAGTGGCTGGCAGATTTGAACCACCAACAGTTCAGTTAGCAGTCAAGCGCTTTAATTACTATGCCACAGGGCATATCCTCATGTCCATGCTACTCAGGTAGATTTTCTTAAGAGTGGCTTGTTGAAATGCATCACTTTTTTACTTTTACCTTTTAATTTGTTAGCCTACTATTTCTGATTTTCCCTTTAATATTTGAGGTACATCTTTAAAATACCTGCCTAGGATTGTCCAGTTTTTATTTACAAGACAATGACAAACTTTGTTTAGAAATGAATCCAAACAATATAAGTGACTTGGGATAGGATTTCTTTAAGCAATGTATTAGAACCTTACCTGAAAAGAGCAGTGAGAAGATCAGCCACAAATTTCATAGACAAAAGACTATCATTTGTTTTGGTAGCAATTTTAGTTTTGCCTTTACTAGCTTTTTCTTTAAGGATATCAGAGAGCTGCTTGTAACACATAAACAAGCTTAGAATGTCCTCAAACTTATTCTTACTGTAAAAAGGAAAAAGAGATCACCAAGGGCAAGCATTAGAATCCTGTGATTTTACTTCCATACAATAATAAGGACATTACTTCTTTAGAAGTCATATTTCTAATACAACATTAGAAACAAACAGATCTTCATTAGCATAGCCCTCCAAAGGTCATTATCTAGGTGACTTCCTCCTCCCTTATTTATACCAGTCAGTATAGAATAACATCAATTACAATTCTCTCCAATAAAATCAGCAGTTCTCAAGTTCAAGGTCTGGGGAATTGTTAGTAAAAGCTGCAGGAAAGGTACCATTCACAGCCTGTTTGCCACATTTTTATATTCTCTGGTGGGAGGAACCTGGTCTAATCTTAGACAAGTTATCTACCCAACACGATGTTATGTGTCTGGGCTCTGCTTAGCATACAGCCAGAGTGGGGGGAAAATTCCCCTAAACATAAAATGAAATATTCATCAGGACAAATGGAGTCACAGCAATACATTACCTGAAATTACTCATGGAAAAATTATATTCTATTAAAATCTCACAAACTCCCATTACAAGAAGAGTACATAAGTTATTTTTTATGCCAGTATCAGTAGTCTGAGAGAAATCTGAAGATTTATCCTAAAAAGAAACAAAACCAAACACAAAGCAAAAGTCAGTAAGTTACTAAAATCTTCTGCTATTCAAGGTAGGTGGGGACCGAGCAATTACCAGTTCAAAGTCTTCTAGCTCACTCTTCACCATTCTCTTAGTGATGGACTCCAGCATATCATCGAGGTCTTGGTAGAATCCCTCTTCCTCCTCGTCTTCCTCCTCATGCTGAAGGGGCATCACTTTACTCTTATACCAGGCCAAACAGTGCTGGATACAGCACAGCAGACGAGCCTGCAGAAGAAAAGAAGGACATGCTCTGGAGGGAAGGGATCTTATCCAAAGCTGTTCACAACAGCAAATTCTTTTTTAAAAAGCTAAAGCAAGAATCGGCACCACAAACTAACTCAATCTAAGTGAATAATGCTGTGAAAAATTCAACGGAATTAACAGAGGCATTGTTTTCTGAAAATTTCCCAAAGGAAGTAGCCTGACAAGTAACCAACACACTGAACTACCCCAGCAGATGAGTTCTCTCTCATCTGATGCAAACAGGCCTGGAGCTGGAGTCTGGTGTTAAATCTTTTCTAGTTCTTTTTTAAAAAAATTTTTATTATTTTGTGTGTGTATACCATCAAATCAGTCTAAGCAGAACAGAAAAGTGACAGGGAGAAAAGGCAGGAGTCTCACCAGAGGTTCTTGGACAAAGGTCTGGTCTCCTTGGGTCACAATACATGCTTCGAATTTCAGAGGAGGCAGGAGATCAGGCTTGGGCTCATAGAACTGTTTCAACTGTGGGTTGTAAAGAGAAAAAGACCCTGCGGTTCATGAACGCTTTTCACTTTTTTTAACAATGACATCTGGTGGCAGAGTCCACAGGCTGCTGCTAGCCCAAAGGCTACACCTCTCGGGCATTTCGAATCCACCAGTGGCTCTGAAGGAGAAAGAGGAGTAATCTGTGCAATTTATAGCCTCCTGAAAACCAGCTAGAGGGTCAGCAATGTGTAGGTTCCGACTTGAAGACAATGAGGGGTTTTTCTGAGACGCCTTCTAAAATATATTTCCCAACTGTCCAAAGAATAATGCAGCACAATTTTTGTTGCTTTGACCGGCCCATGTCCTTTGCCCTTCTTTCTGCCCTGCACTGACTGGGATCAGCTTTCTATCCCACTTGCATTGCCTATCTTAGGAAATACAGTTCTTGCCCACATCAGATCCTGTTCCATGTTCTGTACAGCATGGTGGCTAAAGAGCACAGGCTCTGGAATCAGGAGGCTGGCAACCAAATCCCAGCACCATCACGTAATGATTTTGGTAAAGTTGGCCATGTTGCAGGAGGCCCTGGAGGCACAGTTGTTAAGTATTCAGCTATTACACAAAAGACAAGCACTTTAAACTCATCACCCACTTTGTGGGATAAAGGGTGGCAGTTTGCTTCTGTGAAGATTTACAGCTTTGGAAACCCTCAGGGCCACTCTACTTCGTCATATAATGGGATCACTCTCTGCTGAAAATCAACTTGGCTCCTCTTTTGTAAAATGAGGCTATCGTTAGCATAAATGTATATGTGCATGTGTAAGGATTAAACATGATAATCCAAATACACTTGGCACGTAATAGAGCTAAAAATTGTCAACCATGAGTTTTCTCTTTTTTCCTCTTGGAGCCTGAAGACTCTGGCTGTCCTGTTGGCTACCATGGCGCCTCCCCAACATCTGGCAAGGCCACGTGTGCAAGTCAGGCCTGTTCCATGGGCTTTCCATTGTCTTCTGAGGTGCCTCTAGGTGGGTTTGAACTGCCAATATTTTGGGTAGTAGGAAAAACCCAGCAGTCCCTACGTTAACTTGAGTTGCCAAGCAGTGCTCTATGCCTTCAATCATAATTTTCCCTTCTTGTTAAATGTGTGAAATGTAGATGTGTAGATCAATATAGTGCTGACACTATACAGCTAACAGAATGTAAACTTTATCTAGGATAAGGCCCAGGACCCAGTGAAAAGCTTGTTGATGAAGAGTTTGTTAGCTGTCCTGGAGTCGGCTTTGATTCTTAGTGCCCAACAGAAAGAAACGCTGCCCGATCCTGCCCCCCTCTCCGCCCCCACGGCTACTGTGCTTAAGCCAACGCTGCAGCCACTGTCTATCTATCCTTCTTGTCAAAGGTCTTCCTTTCTCCTGACCCACTACTTTACCAATCACGATGTCTTCCTGCAGGACAGATCAGTCTCTAGTTAGTAAAGGACCTTTAAAATGCCACATATCTGAAACCGTCATTTCAAATGTGGTTTCAAAAATGGAATTAACACAAAACAGTGATGTCAAAAAAAGAGAAAGAAGTTTTATTTTTAGCAAAATGACAGACTAGGGGGTCTAGAGAAACCCTCCACTGAACACAGGGAAAAAAATTTTTAAAAAATTTAGAAAGACAGTTCTAGATATACTTCTTTAAACAAACAGCTCACATAATGGGAAGGAAAGAGAATTTCCTCAGAGGCTTAGCAGACTGGAAAAATGTCATCAAGAGTGAATCTAGCCAATAAGCATGCCCTGCAGGTAGTGTCTGCTCTCGCAGCATTTGCTAATCAGAGGCCACTGCTCTGTGGCTGCCTCTTGAGATGCCCAGTGTTACACCTCACTCTCTCTTGGTCTCCTGCATTTCTGATGCTTGTAGAACAGGGCTCCAAAAAATACACTCCACTATTGTTTGCCTTTCTCGATTGTAGTGAGGTTCTCCCCTTCTGCTTCCAAGATGGCTCATATTAAGCCACATGGAATAGAAGAACGTAATCCTTTGCTCAAACTCAATGTCACTGTCACTGAGTTGGTGCCAACTCATAACAAATCAGGCTTCTGAGACTATAAATCCTAATGGGAAGAGACTGCCACCGTTTTCCCTTGGCGCTGTTGGTGGGTTTAAACTAATGGGTTGCGGTCTAACTTGCCATGGGTGCCACCATATATCTTATTTGTATGGTTCCATCACCCACAGGGTGCCATGCACTCTGCATGATTACCAAGCTGTCCACTCCCTGGAGGCTAGAAGGACAGTCACACTGTACTTTCATAGCTCCACACAATCATCTTGTAGGAGTTACAAGTCTATGGCTTTGACTGTGACTTTTAAGAATGAATTCTTTTAAAAGTTCTCTCTTCTAGAAATCATTATACCTTCTCAGAGGAATTCTTGTACATGCACAGGAGGGCAACTTGTAAAGTCAGGACATTTATCAATATTTATTTTAAAGGCAGTGTGAAATCAATGGTACTTTCCAAGTCAAAACTCAGCTTGAGGCTCAAGGTCAGATGTAACAGGCCAAGTCTTACATTTTTCCAGTCTGCATCAGGAAGAAGTCTAAAAAAGTTAGGTTCTTGTATGTTTAAGAATTCCGTAGGCCACTTAGGAAGGTTACAGTGTGTGAAACAGAAGAGATCTTAAAAAATATTCTGGTTTCACTTTATACTCTTTAAATTTATAGAAGTGAAAACTATAGACAAATGAAGTTAATCAGTTGCCCAAGTTACTCAGAAAGTTACTGGAAAGCTACTGTAGGCTTTCCACATTGGTATCCAGCACTATAACACATTGGGAAAGCTTGGGCTCCTGATGCAAAAAAACCCAAGTTTGGAACCAGCACTCCTACATTAAATTGTGCAACCATGGAGAAATTAATTTCTCAGACCTATAAAAGAGAAATCTGGAAAATGAAGGTAATAGTTATTTCATTGAGTTTTGTAAGGATTAAAAGAGATAATTCCATTCCCTTTAAGAACAGGAACTAGGCAAGGATGCCCACTATCACCTCTTTTATTCAATATTGTTTTGGAAGTCTTAGCAATAGCAATAAGACA